TTAATAATGAATGTGTACCAAATATTAGAATCATGAATAGTACATTTGATTGTGATTTGATTTAATTTTTGCATAGAAAGTTTAGAATGTTTATTTAGAGCGAGATTTCTGAAGATAATGTAACTTCAATTAAACCAAGACAAACCACATTATTGATATTGTGGTTGGTGTTGATTAAACACAGTGTAAACTCGATAGCTAGAATTTCGATATCTTGGATCTTTATTTTATTAATTTCCTAGAGTAAGAGTAGGCCTCCAGAATTAATAGGGTATGCAGCATTCAATAAGACCAATTTTCCCACAGAATTGAAGAACTAACTACTATTACACATTCCACAGAACGGAATTCTAGAATCGTATTTTACAAACATGGCAGCCATCGAAGCCCTAGCTTTCAGTGAAGAGAAAATATTGGATTAGGTGTGAAATTTAGAAACAAAATATAGTATGGAATTTTTGTCCTTGTAGTTACGTGTGACGACTTCAAGTGCATTAGTTGGAATAATGGTTGTGAGTGGGTGGCTGTGTTCCTGACTGCAATTCAATTACGTCTCATACATTAGTTAAGTGATCCGAAGTGAAAACGGTGAAAGATAAGTGGATGAGAAAAATCCATCATAAGAACGTCAGTGAAAACAGTCGCACGCCAATTGAAGGAAATCAACAACTAGCCTCAGTGTAGTTTTTTCTCCATCTTTGTTTAGGTAAGGAGTGAGGCCAATGAGATATTCGCAAAACCTTCAGCCTAAAAGTCCTCTTTTATCTGGCCCGCCACTGGACATGTGGTACAATAGACATGTATGTATGTAGACAATAGGCATGTAGTACATGTAACAGTGGACATGTAGTAACGAGAATCTCAGATTACAAAGTCGCACAAGATTCAGTTCTTACATCGCTTCCCTGATAGGTAGCACCAGTGGCGTAACGCAATGCGGGCGGGCCAGATAAAAGAGGACTTTTAGGCTGAAGTTTTGCGAATACGAATTTGTTAAAGGATACTCTTTTATTATTTAAATTTCTAACAGTCCTTGGGTTTGCTATACACTTATAAAGGAGCTCGGATAAAAGTTTTGCAGCAGGCCCGTACTTTTTCGTTTCGCTATTGGGCAGCACATCCTACGTACTTGTGGACTCGCTGATTGATTGATTGATTGTTAGTGATTAAGGGCGCGTCAACTGCTGTTGTTAGTCCCGTAAGTGTAGTGGATGTTTTCTCCTCGGGAGGTGGCGGTGGTGGTGAGGATGTAGATATTCGGCGTCGACCTACCGTCGATTAGCGAGGTATCGACCCAACCAGGTATATTCCACCAATCGGGCAACGCTCCAGCCGGGACAAGCTCTAAGCTCCCGACCGGTCTCCCGGCATGTGTTGTAGTGTAGTGCGTGTAAGGGATGAGGATAGGACAAGGAAGAGGACATTTACTTTATTTTCGGGAGCGTCAACGACTATTGCCATTAGTCCCGTAAGTCTAATACACGTTATATCCCTCGTGGTGGCGGTGTTCCTCGTAAAACCCGGCGCCGAGCTACACATCGGGTTGTACCCTTCTAGGTATCTCCGCCAGAGGAGCACCGTCAGAGCTAGTAATTCGTCTCCCGATATAAATATTAATAAAGTAACTCTAAGTGTGTGTGAGAGGGGCGGATGGGACAAGAATGAGGAAGGAAAATATCGTGCGCTATCCGTGGCCCGTTTCTTAAGGCACTGCTCCGGCATTCAATTGACATTGATCGGAGAAACAACGCGAAACTGCTCATCAGTGTAGCTGGCTGCTAGAATTCTCCTCCAGTCAGTGATTGAAAATGACAAAGTTATCTAGCTAGTGTCGAAAATCCATCGGGACTCGAGACTTAAAACCTTCCAGTCAGAGACAGTTGTTGCCACGAGCCATCTCAGCCAGACCTGGGGATACTTGTTTCATAATGAGTAGTCTTCATTCTTCATTGTATTACCAATCAGTACTCTTCCAAAACATGGAATAATGTAAGCCCATGGAACTGATATGTCAAATAGTTTTTGAACATTAAATGTCTAACTTTCCTATATTTATATTCCGAAGATTGTACTTAAAATGTTAGTAACCTAATTATTTTCATGAATTAATTACGGGATGTAACAAACACATCTGATATTCTGATGCTAGTGTTGGTATTATGACCGACACACGTGTTTGCGACTTAGCTCCCTCTCTCAGGGAAATTGTAGAAAACACCTATTTTTGCACCTTTGTCACCTATTTTAAAGATTGATATAATATCAGAATGGATTATGATACATTTATGAAATCTACAGAATAAATAAAACGTGAAAAGAGAATCTGAAATATGTCAAAAAGTCGATTTTTTGGTAGATTAGCTCCCTCTCTCACTGGTCTCCTCAATTTATAAATAATAAAGTTATTTTTTAGGAAGAAAAAAGAGCTAATTATGAAGGCTGTAATGAGTCTTTAGAAAAACGCAAAGCCTTTCTGTATTAAAAAAATAAAATTATGTTAACTCAAACTTTCAAAAATATACAATATACATTGAAATTAATTTCTCATTATCGTTTAATCCCCTCCTAACACTTTCTCAAACAACGAAAATAATATATTTCTTACAGTTGATCCGTGTAATATACTGAAACAAATACTTCCAAGGCGAGAAAGAAAAAATAAGGCTAACCACGTTCCGTAAAATGCCGCGCCTAAGGGTTCATTCATTCGGAATCAACGTTCCAAGTACCACCATGGATCAACATTTACCCAACAATATTTACCCATTGTAACAGCAAGTGCTGCGCTGCTACTCGTTCCATCGGCTCAATTGCGGCAGTTGAGTTGGACTAGAAAAGACTTTTCGACTCCATCATACAAAGTATAACATTGTATGGTGCAGAAACATGGAAACATGAGTGGTATGGGAAGAAATTCTTAAGCGAATGAAGGTTCAAAAATCAATAATAGATGAATTGGAAACACGAAGGCTGAAATGGTTTGGCCACGTGAAAAGGTTTGATTGTGGAGATGGCCCAGAAAGGTATGCGAGTGGTTTCCTTTAGACAGAAGAAAAAGAGGTAGACCCAGAGAGGAATGGCAGAAACAGATTTTTAACGATATGCAAAGAAGAGGACTAGAAGAGAATGACTGGAACGATAGAGTGGTATGAAGATTGGGATGCGAGAAACGGCCACAAGAGCTGTAAAACACTCGCAAGAAGAAGAAGTTGGACTAAGCTGGTATTTATTTATTATTTTAAGATTTATTTATTTATTTACTTAGTGTTTACTTAGTTTCAGGATTATTATTTACTTTTCTGTCTATGGTCTTTTCAAATTAGTCAGGCTGTGTTTGGTCCTTAATATAAAAACAGAAAATTATTATAACATAACTGCTTTACATCAATGTGTTACATGCAATACATATCTGACCAATTTGTAGCAATTTGGGTGCACAGGGAGAGGACGGATGTTAGCAACGAATTTCTCATTGATGGGAAATCACGTCAGTGTTATTTCTCTCTCTAGTCAAGCCGGTGATTACGATTCAACCTCGCTGACCCACAAAGGGAAACAGCACGTGTAGACAGGCTGTGAATGCAACGTTGAGAACGCGTCGACGGTGGGGTTCTTTCTTGTGAGCAGGCAAGGAAAGATTCTACGGACATCTGATCTGAGAAATTCGATAAATTTGTAACTTAATACTGCCTGTCAGCAAGCTTCGCGTCAGGCTGCGAGGTCGAATATAACTCGCGCGAGCAAGCTCGTCGATGAGTTTGATCCAGTTGCCGATGTTTGGGAAGAGGCACCGTGAACGATAGCGTACTTAGGAAAGAAGGGCCTGTATACACTGGGGCTGTGCCCCGCTGGTGGGAGATACCTGGTGGGGGAAAATCCTTGCAGGCAATAGGGCGGCCCCGGATTGAGCCATCCAACGGGAAGATCGTCGCCGTCTCCCACGATATAAACATAAACTAAACTTACAGGACTAATGCCCTTAGCAGTTGACTGGCCGGAAATCACTAATCAATGAGATGACAAACGCCATATTACGCTATTCTTTTTTTTAATTACATAAAATGTAATTTTTTGTACTTGTCTCTCACGTCGTTAATATTTACACTAGGGGTAATTCGTTCACATTATTATATTTATGAGTACATGTGCTTTAAATATTGTCGTATAAGGCTTCTCGAATACTCAACCGTTTGTTGTGAAAACTAGCTCAAAATTTCGCAATTTCAGAAACGCGCAAATGCCATTTTCTCATAAACGGCTCAGAAGTTTTTCTTCAAGTTTTCGAACGGATAGAGCTAATTCTACTCTTTAAAATGAGGTAAAGTTCATTTTTTTGTTTTTGTTTTTTTAAATTACGGAAATGTAATTTTTATAAAAACATGTCAAGCCGGTAATAATTACATTTCCAGCAATTTGTGAACACTATTGTCTTTGCGAGTTAAAGTACTTCAAATGAAGTTTTTGGAAAAGTCAAGAATTTTCTGTGAAAAAGTGCTTCAAATTTCGAATTTACTGTAGCGCTTAAGCGCCATTTTCCTAAAAACCGCTCCAAATTGTTAAAAAATATGCCATTGAGGATAAGATTTTACTGTTCTTTAATATTCTTAAAATAAAATTAGGAAGCCGGAAAATTAAGACAGAAAAAATACTTTTTCACAGATACATGGCAGCAGGCAAGATTATGTGCAAGTTCGAATAGGTAGCTGAGCCCAAAGGAAATAGAAAACTAATACTGGAAAGTCTGTGCCATTCTGTAACACCACAAACTTTTTTCATTCATATCACAAGATCTCGATCTAGCCCCCGCTGCATCACGAAACGATTGTAGCGGTAAGAGAAATGGTTTAAGTGGTTTAATGGTTAATTCATGATTAGAACAATACAAACAAACCAAAAAGAATGTTGGGCTATATATTGACTAAACATGCTTGCAAAAATTACTATTTGTTCGAATCATCATTTGATCTCGTTTAAATTCCGTCTCACTATGGGACTACGCAATGCCTTTAGAATCTAGAAGGCTTTGGGCGTGTCATGTGAATCCTGGATGCTCATTGGTTGAACTGACTGAAAATGCGCAGGCTTTCCCTTTTAACTCGTTTTTCCTCACGCCGTAGCACGTGCAGTGAAGCTCAAGTACAAAGCCATCTCGCTTCTGGAGAAATCCATCGGCACCCACAGGCAGGTAAAATCCTCTCTGCCCGCAGGTTAGTTTGTCTTTGACTACAGAGGCGCGAGTGCTCGATGCCAACTTTGCTCGATGAATTTTGGTTAACTTGAGGAAAATGCGAACTATGCTAGAATCAAGTATTTACAATGATAAATATACTGAAAGAACCGTGACTGAATAGAGTACAAACATTACAATTTTTTTCTACCGGGCGCCCTCACTAGCCAGCTCTCGACTGGCAAATCGCCTGTATATTACCTTGGCAGCACTGTCTTTAGTTCCTGCAAGCAGGTGCAAGAGTAGAGCGCGTTACCGCGAGCTCTACCTGTGCCCTCAGGTGACCAGAGTCAGACCAACTCAGACTATTTTGTGCTGCTGCCGCGAGTTTGATTCGGGTAGTGTGTATTTGATATATTTTAGTATTGTTTGGTGACTTTGTTAAAACTCTGGAATTCAGGTGAGTGGTGAAGTGCATTAGATTCTGTAGACAATTTGTAAAAGATTTTATTTGAAATAAATATGTTGATCTTGAATTCAGAAGTGCCATTCCGCTTTGAGGGATAGTGAAGAACAGTGTGGTTGAAAATATGTTGTTTATTTGGCTGAAATGGGGAAGGTAACCATCCACGAACCCTCCTACCTCAAGGCTCGCTGTGAAATATACAGAAATGCATTACTAAGGAAGTGTTTATATTTGTAATTGTTCTTCGTGAGATGCAGATGTAGAGTTGTTTTTGTAAATGTTATAGTGGACGTGCAAATTAGTACATTTAATGGGAGAAAATAAATATTTCCATTAAATGCAATTTCTTTGAAAAGTGAGAGGGGGGGTTATTTCACAGCGTGAGCTCTGGAGCAAGATCGAGAGCCCCCGCGACATGGCACGTGGGATCTGTCGGGAAGAGGCTATTTTCTCTTAATTCGCGCATGCTTTCTTGAGCCCTCATTTTGCTCGATGCGGGACCGTTTTAACAGCATTGGAGGCTTGTGGGCGTAGGTTAATTTTGAGGGCTCCCTATTCTTATTTTCACGAAATAGGTCATCTCCCCAATTTCGCTGCTGAAATATAAAGAAAATCCGGCTGAAATGTAGTATACGGTACAACCTAAGGAAGTCGTTTAAACCGGCACTTCGCGCCGTTCCGGCATTAACTAGGGAGATAGAATTCGGGAGGCTTGCTTGGAAAGTGATGTCTTATACAAGTGAATTGGTAATTATGCGTTGGATAGACTAAGATGTTTATAGTGAACGCTAGGACTGAAGGCCCGAGCCTCGCCGTGACTTGGATTCGGTCGAGCGAAGCGAGAAAACTTGCCTATGAAAGTAAATTGGCGTTACAACGCGGCGGGGACAAAGCATATGAAGGGCGAACCATGAAAATTCGCTATCCGTATTCGCTCCCTATTATGTTTTATTCATTTCTATTTGAGCACGTACAGGAATTAGGGCTTAAGCCGCGCCGCCACGGTTGTCTAAGGATGTATCGTCTACTAAACTTTCATCAAAAATCCTTCCAATCACATTTTGTATTTTTGTTGTTGTAATATTTTGAAAGTATGTCTGTGTTTCAATTTGACATTACATAAACATAAAATTTTAACATACATGTATAAGTAAGATAATATCTCATTTATAATTACATTGAAAAATACTACAAATTAAATAGTTTTCAATTTTTATTGAATTGTACTCTATGAAATTGAAGGTATCAACCTGCAACATTCCATATATCATTCAATGATGCGTGACTCATCACTGCGTAATGCCAATTTTTTGCATATAGTTTAAACTTGCATCACTTTTTTTTATAGTTTTATGTTTTGAAAACTTAAGTATTAAATAATTTTTTAAGAACTAGCCAGAGCCTTTGAACTCGGGTCCAGGGCCCCTGAAGGCTCATGTGTTAACATGGCACTAAACCAATGTTGTAGTAGGGGGTTGGTTGTTTTGACAAGGGAACTTTTATATAAAATCTGTATGTTGTTGTATATCTCATATACAACAAATATATAAAATAATGGAACTTAATATTATACTGTTATTACATTCCATGTACATATAAATAATAGATTTTGGTCAAATAAATTCCCAAAACTGTTGGGGGGGGCATTGTTCTCCCAATAAACCTTGTTTTAAAATTGTTAATCTTCCTGTAGTTTTAATGATCACAACCTTTTACAAAATAGAAATTATCTTTAGTCATGTAAATTTAATCAATGTGGAAAATACCTTTTAAAAAATGAATGATTGAAGTGCAGAAATAGAAATTGTAAATTTAAATCTTCAGGTTGTGTAAACTTTGTGTGATATGACTAAATCTTGTTTTGAACTTGCATGCATGTATTAGTGAAATGGTTCTAACAATACGGTTGTTGATTTCATCTGCAAGGAGTTAAATGTGGTTTACAGAAATTCTCTAGTATATTCTTGTCAAATAAAATGTTCTTGTATGCATAGATTTTTAAAACAGCAAATCTAATGATATAATTACGTAATTGATGCAGTTGGAGAAAATGATATGTCAAATAACGTAGTAACAATAATATTTCATCAATTTTGCGGGGTTGTTTTAAAAGAGATCTGAGGAAGTGGTGAGGAAGACTATTGAACAACATCGAAATGGACTGAATATTCAAAACACTCTAAGACTTTTCATTGGAACTGTCTTGTTGTAGTGTATTAATGTTTTTGGCAATTCTAAACCACATAGGGTAGGCAATTGTCTCCCCTCCCCCTAAGAATTTTTTTAAACATTTCCTGTATATTCATGCTTTATATTCAAATTGCTCTGGAAATCTTATTTTGCTCTCCCTCCCCAATAGATCTGAAGTCTTGCCAATGCCATAATATGATGTAGCTTAATGTAAAGTATTTTGAGAAATATGAAAGAGTAAAATATTTGGAGTTTAATGTTGTGCAGTTATTCCATTCCATTTTCTTATTAATAATAGGTTTTGATGAAGTAAATTTAAAAAAAATTGTATGGAACTTAATTTGGCTAATTCAGCATTTTTGATATATTGAACTCTTATTTTACGTTATTCTTGAAAAGATTTCAGGTGCAATTGATTTTCCTCTCTCCCTCCTTTTTTTCTTCTTCTCCGTGTGTGCAGTAACATTTAGATATCATTGTCACTCTTCTAGGGAGGATGAATTTTTAAAAAAATGTTTCATGTGTTTTGTTTCTTCAAAAATAAATTTGTGGTAATCTGGATGAAATACTTGCAATACTATGTATTGCAGTGTGTGTGGTGTGTATAATAAGAGTTTACCTTTGTTAATATTTTCCCCTAAAAATTTTGATTTTCCTTATTCAATTTTAGAATATTATTTACTTTGCCTGTTATTTCAAGATATTAAAGTTTTATTAGAAATTTGAGGCAAAGGTCTCAGTGGCTTGCTGAACAGGGGCTGCAGTAATTTTTTATTTGATATTGAGAAGATTTCAGGTTGGTTATTGTACTCAAATTTGTGTCTTTGTTCAAGTTGTTTTTTTGTTAAGTCTTACTGAGGATCAAGAATTTTTTTTGTGTGTTGAGAGAAATTTCCTTGAAAATTGATGCTATAGGTGTTTTGTAATATCTTCTTAACTTTTAACTGGTGTTCAAACCATGTGGAAAAGTATAATTGTTTACTCTAAAAGTAGATGTGAATTAGAAAATGTTTATTACAATTCTGCATTCTTAGATAGATGATTACATCACCAAAAACTGTTAATTCACTCTACTGATTTTTTGTTATAATAATATTTTTGATTAATTTCTATTTTCTAAAAAATATAATTAATCACCCTTGCCTGCTGGTAATTGTGGATTATTTCTTCAATGATATCTGTATTTGAAAAGCAATTGGAATGTCACATTTGTTAATTAAATTATCAAATGCTTAAAACAGGCTAGTGATGGCTCCTCTTCCACAAAATCAGTGACCATGCCCCAGGTCTCCCTAACTGTATTTTATGTGAGTGATGTGTTTTCCATTCTGTTACTGTGCTGGGGACATCTGTTCTTACGAGCGTGTAATGAAGGTGTCGTTTTGGAGAAAATTAGATTTTTATTGTCAACATTCCTTTTTCAGTCTCCTAACATGCACCATTTGGTCCTTTGTGAGAACTTTATTTCTGAATGTTTGTTTTTCAATATGCAATGTTGCTGCCAAAAAGACCAGGAGTACCATTGAAGAAATAAAATTACATTCAAAATTTTAAAATCAATTTTGAAGATTTAATGCGCTGTTCAGTATCTAATTCAACTGCTATTGTGGAATATGGACATTTTTGTTGCCTTTTTCCAATGTAGTATTCTTGAAATTCAGATTTTAATGGTGTAGTATAGACAATCTGTAATAAAAAAGCCTTGATGATTAATGTAATATTAAAGATTATTTAAAATGTTACTTCAGCATGTGTAACAATTTTGTTGTGTAGAAATTATCCTAAAGAGATTATTTTGCCATCTTGTTTGAAGTGGAGAAAATACCCAACATGCTACAATTAGCTGAAGTAGCTTTTATTAAGATTTAATGAAGTAGTATATTATCAGAATAATATGTATTTAAAAAATGGAGTTTGTCTTGGTCTTAAGATTCTTATAATGATTGTTATGATTGTGAATAAGCTCATCTGATATTCAATAATTTAAATGATTTTTATTTGAGATTCTGTGTCTGTCTTTTTTCTTGAGGATATTGCTTATGTTCTTTTTCATTACCTATGTTTCCATTTTATTATAGATCCTGGAGAACATGGATGACTTACATGGAAAATTATCGCCATTCTATCTGCCAGTATTGTATTCTAGATGGGGCCTATATCCATATGGAATGTCTGGGGCGATGCCACTACATCGGCGCATGCATGTAGAGAGTTCAAGTGATCATGAGGAGTGCTGGGCGAAAGTGGCTGTTGAGTTGGACAAGCGATTTAAGGACAAGGAGGAGAGTGTTATCTCCCGTATTCATTCTAAGCATGCAGCGACGAAGCGAAACTTGTTGATACTTATTAATTGCAAGCGGAGCGCCATTGAAAAAGCCCTTACAGATAAATTAACTGAGCTTATTGAGCAGAAAGTGGAAGCATTGGAGAGGCAAATATGCCAGAAGATTGGAGAAAGGTTTCGGGCAATGGAAGAAAGGATACAGGCAATAGAGTGGAAAATAGTGAATAGAAGGAGAAACATGGGTATTGGTGGTGTGGGCACTGTTGAAGAAGAGGCTGTGTCTTCAGAAGAAAGGACAGAAACTCATTTCTGTTCTGAGGTTATAAAGAATATGGGGGAGATGGATGCTCGACTGGCTGTTTTAGAAGCTGTTACCCAAAAATCAGTGACCTACTTCTTTCCAAAAGTGGAAGTGATGCTAAGGCATGTAAATCTCTCTTCCTGAAGAGTGGCTATTCCACATTAGTGTTGGGCACAGTCAGTGCTTCAGAGATGAGAATTCCAAATCCCCCGATATGACTCAACTCATATCAATGTTCCTGCATGCCTGCTTCCATGTAAGAGGAGACACACTTTAATTTCTTTCTCAGTCAGTCAGTGCGTTTTACCACTTCAGCCAAGTAACGTCATGCCATTCGTAAGTAGGGTTCCTAGTCCAAGAATCCATGGTGTCTTTAATTGTCGAACTTCATGTCTTCACAGAGCACAGTTAAGCAATTCGGCTAACACTGGCATTAATGCCTGAGGGGATTGTGCGATTGTGATGGTGTGGTACTCTCAAACTTATGTATGCAGGGGCAGATTTGTAATTGTATTTGTGATGGAGCTAATTTCTCACTTTCGTGTTCATCTGCAAGTTGTAGGAAAGACAGGTTGTGAATGTCTCTCAGAATGGTACAAATGGAATTGCTGGAGGAGTAATTAATACTGAGGTGGATTAAAAAATATATTGTTATTGATCCTTAATTTCAGAATATATTCCTATGACTTCAAGTATAGAACAACTATTTTCCATTTGAAATTGCTTCTTTGTGAGTGTGGGGGATGTGAATATTTATTTTGTTCAAGTACACACTTTTTATGTCTATCTTTAATGAATCTTTCCTTATGGGCTAATGTTGGTATGCATTTATTAGCATTGTTTTTTTATTTAAGAATTTATTTCTCTGACCGCTTAATTTTGGAATACAGTTTTGTATGCATTTCCTCTTTATTGGTGCGAGTGTTTCTTTTGTAATATTTTGTTCAACACATTCTTCATATATCTCTTAAGGATCTTTTCGTTTTGGCTCAAAGTATTGGGTATTCTGTAGTATTTGATCTTTATCTTGAGACATGATAATTTTATGGATTTCTTTGAGTACTTATAGCTGGAGAATGATGTTTCTGTATATTTGAGTAATTTTGTAGAAAATGTATTATTGTTTATGACAATAGTTCAAAAAATGTGACTTTTTTAAAATTTGTAATATGATAATGATACTTTTGTAATTATATTTTGTAACCTTGTGGGAAAAAGTGTTCAGCAATAAAGATATTTAAAAGATAGGAGTGTTGTTTTAGTGAGTTCAAAATTCATAATGCAATTGGACATTGCAAAAGGATGTTTACTCCTTGCAAGACAGATTAAATAATGACAAATCACTTTGCCAGGTAAGTTAGTCATACATTGGTTCAATTTCTTTGTTGGTTTGTTTTTAGATATTTGAGAGCATTTTGGGTACATCAACATAATTGATTTATTTTCAAAGTGTTGTGTCTTGTGTCATTTTGTTGTTTTTTATTATTTTTATACATAAATATATTTTGAAGGTGCTTCTCTCTTGTATGCCAAGTATTGTTTCATGTATCAGTGTCTGAAATCTATTGAACCCTGTAATAAATGGTAAAACTGAATGTGATTACTCTCCCTTGTGAAGAAAGTGTTTCATGTAGACATGTCACTTTGGAAACAAGTTTTTCAGTTCTTGAATAGCAATTCCATAAACTTAAATACTTAATGAGTATGTTCATAAATTTTGTGGCTTATCTGTTGACCCTTTTCATGAAATATTTTGGTTCTAGAACATATTCATCTGTTAAGATTTGAGATCAATGACTCTCAGGTGAATTATGCCCCTTCTAATTTGAAATTTGGTTTCAAAAGTAACCACCAATATTGTATTCTCTTTATTGTAATTCCAATGGTGAAGCTTTCAATAACTACCCCCCCCCCTTTTTCGACTCGATTGTGTCGAACTATACTTTTTTTTAAAAAGAATATTAGAGCCACAATAACAGTGTTTATAAATAAACAAGTAAGGATTGGAATGTAGGTATTACTCAGCCAAACTAAGAAAAAGGGACGCAATTGCGGAGCGTAATGGAATTAACACCCATTCACAATGCAAACGCAAACATACGCATAGACATAAACATTAATATAAGTGATATACGTAAGTATTCACACTCTCTAGCATAAACGTAAGGAAAATACTATTCGCTTTGAGACATTGTACAATACTATTGGTTGGATGTGAGAAACTATTTCGAGGTATCGACTTGTCCATGGCCCCTATGGCGTTCGTCTATCGACTTGCTCCTCTTTCGATATTCTATTTTGAGTTAACGTACTGTGATTGGTTCATTGCTTATGTCTTAAGCATAAGCACTAAAGCTTGCAAGAATTTAAGTTAATGTCTTACGTGTTATGCTTATACGAACGCATTGAGAATAAGTCCGCTTATGGAAGTATTAACTTTTATGTTACCGCCATGCTCATGTTTATGTTTTGCAGTTTCGCCAACGAAAGTCGCGAGGAGCGTGAAGCGAGTTAAGAGACTTGACTGCTTCTACAGAATCAACTGGATGATAACTTTGTGTGCCCAATAAATTGTCTTCATTCATTTACATAGAGCATCCATTTAATTTAATTGAACCCTAAATTTCAAGGTGGGTTCAAAGAAAGATCAGAATTAGCTCCTTGCCTGCGAACTGCTTGATGCAACGAAGCGAGATACCTTGTGACTATAGCAATTAAAATGGCGTCAGGTGTGTCTATCTGCCATCCGTTGGAGTCGTGCGACAGCGATTTTTGTCTGAGCATGCACCGGCCTTCGGTAACATCGGCGCATAATGCAGCTAGAAGAGCAGCGTGCGCGCGTTGAATTTTGTTTTAATATCAGCAAAAGTGCTACAGAGACCTTGAAAATTGATTCAACGAGCCTTTGGTACTGAATCTATGAGCGGGTCCCTGTGTTTTGAGTGGTATTTAAATGTGGAAAGAAATAACCACTCGTCCACCAAATAATATCGGATATCTCGGTCCAACATTAAAGTCATGCTGATCGGTTCTACTTTCTCGCTACCGCTTACGCAATAGAGAAAAAGTTGTGAAATGCTGCGCGCAAAAATGGTGAATTTTCCGCAGAAAAACTTATTATGGAGTACTGGTAATGGACAAAAGGATAAATCTAAATTTAGAAAACGAATCCTCTTGCATGTGGTGTAGCCAGAATTCGTTTTATGAGTCTTTGATACCGAAAAATCTAATGACTGCAAAACGCGTGTCTGTGAACAACCTTGCAACTAAATCATTCAGATTTTCTGCAGAATTGATGTTTCCCCATCGATCTGGCTGATGTCACCGCTCCCTAAATATGAATTTGACATTTTAATTCCGGAGCGTGTTTTACATGACACCCGTAGGACATTTTCAAAAACATGGCTCCAACTTTATTTTTAATTGTGAAGGATGTTTAAGAGTGGTGAAGGTCTTATGTTCGTTGAAAACCTGCTTTGACGCGCTTGGTGTTATTGCCCACTGAAACTGAATTGTTAGGATAACTTGATTGTTCGATATGGGCGAGAATCCGGAAGGTATCTTCTTTAGAATGCACTGACGATAAATGGTAATTTTTTACATTTTGGGTTGTATTTTATAGGCGAAAGTATTACCATGTATTTGAGGCATGTTTCTTAGTGATCGGAAATTTAGACTGTGTTATCTTGAGTTACCAACAATTGCCAAGAACGTTCTTTGCACTATTATATTCGCTAAACCTTGTGAAACAAAATAGTGGAAAACTTTTTGGCCCAAATTTGCCCCTTTTCGAAAAAAAATATTTTCTTCAGATGTCACTCGACAGGATCTCTGGCTTGAGAGTGCACTCTCTCATGCAACAGATTTACGGAGAAGTTATTGAGAAGATACCGAGATTCGCCCGCCAAATTGCTGACAAATGAAGTAGGCAGGAGTAGATGGCTTGTGATAGAATGGTAGACAGATTCGCGGCAAGGAACCCACCACGATTAGACGGCACAATGGTGCGTGTTAAGAAGCACAGAAAACGACGAAAGGTAGACCTGAAAAAGAATTATCTTCGTGTTCAAAGAGAACAAAAAGGCGAAAAGTACAGCAAGATTTTAGGCCATTAAATTCGAATTTATCAAAGTGACACCACATAGGTCAAATGCAGGAATAGCTCGTTTAGAAGAAAACATTAAGAAGCTCCTAGCAACAAAATTGAATATTGGGGTGCAGATATCTCTGTTTATCACATTGTTGAAATCTATGTGGGGGAAGTGTAATTGACTTATTTTAAAGCCTCTCAGAAGTGTTTTATTTGTGATGTATCTACCCAGCAAATGAACAATCTAAAACACATTATTAAAAAACCTTGACGTAAGAAAGCTTTTTATGTCTGTCTTTTAAGCTCGAATTCGTTTCTTTGAGTGCTTTCTTCACATCTTAGAGACTATATTATTTAAAAATGGCGAGTTCGTGAATATGAAGCAAAGATACAGTATGATGCCAGGAAAAGGCAAATTTTTGTCCAATTTCGAAGGAAAACGGGACTCCTTATGGGCGTCCCAAAACAAGGAAGTGGTATAATGAAAGATAGAAACACTGTTCTGCAATTTTGCCAAAACCTGGAGTAGTATACAAACATCGGAAGAGATGAGTTTCATTTACCGCTTCTCAGTTTTGCAAGCATTGAGGAGCGACAATGTGACTATGGTATGATGTGATTACGGAAGATTTCACAAAAAACAAAAAAAAACGCATTTAAAACAGCAAAAGTTTGTCAGTTTAAATGGGTGAGTACTGCACGCCTGTAACAGTGCACAAAGTATTAATTCATGGTGCTGATGTCATTAATGAAACGACTGTACCAACAGGACAAACTGTTCGAAGACACGCAGGAAGCACGTCACGAAGACTTCAAGTCATTTCGAGAAAGAAATACGAAAATCATCTAGGATACGCGGCAATGACGATCTGCTTCATTTCCTAGTAATTTCTTCCGCCCCAACAATAAGCATTCGGACACCACCAACTAAAAAATTTGCACAGCTACCGACGGATGTTTTGAAGTTGGGCATGTTTGCATGTTCCTGGAGCTGATGTGTCATGTGAAGGTAGAATAGCAGATTTAGAGCGATTATTGTAACTTTTCTTTGTTCTTACATTTATATAATTTGATTTGCATAGTTAAGCATGAATTAGAAAAAAAGGTAATATTTTTGACTTTTCTCTCACATTGTTAATATATACATTAGCGTCAATTTGTTCGCATTATGGTATTTACAAGTACATGTGCTTCAAATAATGTCATATCAAGTTTCTCGAAAACAACAGTTTCCTGCCAAAACTAGATCAAAATTCCGCATTTTCAGTACTGCTTAATGCAATTTTCTCAAAAACAGCTCCAAATCCCCCCCTTCAACATTACGATCAGAAAGGGCTAATTGTGCTAAGTGTAAAGTTCATTTAGGTGTTTTTTTAATTACACAAATGTACATTTTTTTAAAGATCTCGCCGTTATGCACATTTCCAGCTATTCGTAAACACTATTGTATTTGTGAGTTTAAAATGACTCCAAATTAAGTTTTTCGGAATCTCAAAAAATGTCTATGAAAAAGAGCTTCAATTTTGAATTTAGAGTAGTGCATAAACGCCATTTTCTTAAAAACTGCTCCAAATGTTTACAAGAAAATGGTCATTTAGGACGAGGTTTTACAGTTTCCTTAATAATCTTAAAATATTTCCGATCTACAATTAGAAAACAGAAAAAATAAGAAAATGTCAAAAAAATTTGGGCGGCGATAGATGGCAGCTGACAAGAGTATGTGACAAGTCCCGAGTAGCTACACGAGACCAAAGAAAAAGAAAACTAATACAGGAAAGTCTGTGCCATTCTGTAGCACCACTAGTTTCTATTTTAAACAGCTTTTCGCTATCCAGGAACCTAACCCACCTTTCTCCACTAAGAGACTCAACATTCGCGGATTTAGATTTAGATTTATTTAGTCAAAAAAACAGTAAAAACTGAATGGGGGAGAAGATCATCTGCGCAAGTTTTCCTGAGTTCAGAATCCCTTCCCGTCATTTTAACTAAGTAGTTGAAAGATGCGTAAAAGTTTAAAATAAACAAATTAAAATAAATTTTAAAAAGCGCGAGATTAGCAATATTTGAAAAAAATAGACATTCGCGCTGCTTTTTGGGAACCTAACTCTCGCTAATGTTGAGGAGTTACTGTATATACAGAGTATCCGAGGAGGAAAT